GTAATGTGATACCTCCAGATTTGTTCTTTTTGCTTAGTCTGTCTTTGGCTATGCAGGCTCGTTTTGGCTTCATATGTATTTTAGGATTCTTTTTACTAGTTCTTTGAAGAATGATGGTGGTATTTTTACGGGAACCACCTTGAATTTGTAGATTGCTTTTGGCAGTATAGTCATTTTTAAAATATTGATCCTACCCAACCATGAGCATGGAATGTTTCCATTTGTTTATATCATCTATGATTTCTTTCAGCAGTGTTTTGTAGTTTTCCTTGTAGAGTTCTTTCACATCTTTGGTTAGGTATATTCCTAAGTATTTTATTTTATTTTATTGCAGCTATTGTGAAAGGGGTTGAATTCTTGATTTGATTCTCAGCGTGGTCACTATTGGTGTATAGCAGAGCTACTAAGTTGTGTACATTAATTTTGTATCCTGAAACTTTGCTGAATTCATTTACCAGTTATAGGAGCTTTTTGGATGAGTCTTTAGGACTTCCTAGGTATACAATCATATCATGAGCAAACAGCGACACTTTGACTTCCTCTTTACCGATTTGGAGCCCCTATTTTCTTTCTGTTGTCTGATTGCTCTTCCTAGGACTTCCAGTACTATGTTGAATGGAAGTGGTTAAAGTGGGCATCCTTGTCCTGTTCCAGTTCTTAGGGAGAATGCTTTCAACTCTTCCTCATTCACTATAATGTTCGCTGTGGGTTTGTTGTAGATGGCTTTTATTACTTTAAGGTATGTCCTTTCTATGCTAATTTTGCTAAGGGTTTCAATCACCAAGGGATGTTGGGATTTTGTTAAATGCTTTTTCTGCATCTGTTGAGATGATCATGTGAGTTTTGTTTTTAATTCTGTTTATGTGGGGTATCATGTCTATTGATTTACATATGTTAAGCCATCCCTGCATCCCTAGTATGAAACTGAAGATTTTTAAAATCGATTTTATGTAATGGGGATGAATTTACATGAGTTCATTCACACTCACTTATTTAATTGCCATTGTGACAAATTCCACGGATTTTCAGATGATTGGTTAAGGGTTTGGATGCAACTGTGAAATAAGTGAAAAAAGTAAGGTTGAGCCTTGATTCTTAGCTTTCTTAAAGGTAGAAAAAACACTGCAGATGATCTTAGAAGAAATTCTGAGGTCAAGACTCTTTTCATCATTGATCTATTCTTTGATGAGTACAGAAGGAGAAATTTAGCAGGAGAAATAACAACATAGTGATCTCAGCAATATATGTTATAATCCTTGCTAATTTTTTCATTTGTCCTCAGGACAAATTGAAACTTTTGTTTTATTTTTAGAATTCTAAATGTGTCACCTATTACCTGCTAACATTTACTGCAGTGTGGTTTCACATAAAGACAAATTCAGATTTATGGCATTCCCTCGGAGTATAGAGGAATTGTAATATTTTGCTATACCAAATGCATGCATCCAGGCAAGATCTATGCTAAGTGGTATGCTCAAGTTTGCAACAGTGGTTGTGATTCAAATGTGTTCATATTATAACAAGAATGGCTGTAGCTCATAAAGGTGGGCTCTACAGTTGTTCGGCAATTTATTATCATTTATGTTGCTAGCACATAATAATTTTTGAGTTAGTTAGGGATGTGTAACATATTTTTCTCCTGTTTTGGAGGCTGGAAAATGAGGTATGAGACTGAATTCCTACTTTGGGGCAGTTATTGAAGAATCTTTTGAGTCCTGTCTTCTAGTTCTGTTTTTTTTTTGTTTCTTTTATTGTTGTTTTTTGTTTTTGTTTTTCCTCTCTCTACTCCTTCCAAACTTTCTAAATCATTTCTTCAATGTGTTAATGTCTGAAATTACTATCTCAGGATACTGCAACTATTCAAGTCCTTTGTCTTTCTGAAGAATGAAAGTAAATTGACAGACTTTTACTCATGGGATTTTTGGCTATTTTTAAAAGGTAGACTTTTTATCTGAATTATTCAAATTAAAAGTATTCTTGCAGGAGGTAGCCTGAATCTAATGGGTTGTAGGTTCTTAGTACAAACACCCCTTCTCCTGCCATTAAGTTTTACTAATTTTCTGCTTCATGTCAGTTTCTATGAAAATTTAAGAATTTATTTTCTCTCATTTAGGGACTCTTGCTGTTTTGATTCCAAAGGAATGCTGCCTATTCTGACAAGTGAAACTAATGTTAAGCAAATTTTCCATAAGTTTTAAATCCTACTTTGTCTTTGTTCTGTACTCTTAAGATAAAAGCCATCAGTTGAAATATTTACAAAGCTGGAAAACTGGATTTACAGAATGGACATTATTTTTCAAATTGGTTTTTGAAAGTTGTCTTCTTACACTAGAGGTAGCAAGGGCCAGATTACAGTAGGACATAAAGCCAACCAGTTTCAACAAGCTTCCCCTTCCATGTACAAATTTTAAAAGAATGGGTCCTCATGAAAGCATTTCGAATCCAGAGACAAATTTGAAAAAAATTGCTACAACATGTTGACTGATTCCTTGCCAAGTCAGGCGCTGAGAACTTTTTCTTGATTGACTTACACAGAGAATTAGAGCCGCATAGGGGAAACGTGTAACTTTGTTATTAAAAAAACTAAACTTTACAATACCCTTAAATCCCTCCCCTCTTAAATTTTTCTTTTCTACTTGTAATCCCCCTCTTCTTCTGCCTCATCTTTTACCCCTCCTGCCTTTTCCTTGTTCTCTTTCTTCTAATCATTCTGTTATATACTCTGTTGCTCTAATGTTTTCATTTTTACTTTTAATGTTGAAACAATGATATGTTATGGAGAAATAGCTTTCTAAAGATTATATTCAGATATACAGATTCAAAGAAGGATAAAAGTTAAAAATGTTTTTAAAATATGCCTGTCAGCAGTGGAAAGAAAGCTGTTTGTAGCCAGCAGGTGAGCTGGAAAGTACTATAGGGTGTGGTAGAGATAGTAATAAATTAACAGACAAGCCAACAACTGTAAAAAAAAAAAAAAAAAAAAAAAAGCTATTTCATAGCATAGAAGCATGACAGCTATGAAAAAAGGTGTGCCCCAGGGAATTCTTTTAGAGTTTGATTTTTTTTTAATATGTTTGACATGAAAAATGTTTTAGTACAAATAAAGCAACTGGTATTAAACTTACAGGGAGGGTGGTTGTGGTTTAGAGTTAGTATGAATAATGCATGATATTTAAAGAAAGAACGGCTCTAAAATGTTCCAGGAGGCAGTCCATGTCAATGGTTAGAGTGGTGATTTTTTTCCCCTGTTTTTGAAGCATCATTAATTCAGCATCGTTTTGTGATTTTTTAAAACTTGTATCTACCAAAGAATTACTATTTGACTTAGATTAGGATATTCTTCCTTCAGATAATTTAGTTTAAATATCAAGAAGATCAGTAGAATTATTTAAGCATAAAGTGACAGTCATTTACTATAAAAAATAATTTGGCCTAGTTATCTTTTTTAAAAAGCCCATATAGTACTGCAAACCAAAATCAACCTCATGGAAGGAGAAAAACAAGATCAGATATTTTGAACATTACTCCGTAGGAGACCAGCACAATATAATGTTAGTGAATGCATTGTAGCAGCACTCCATATGCAATCAGAAGCCAATTGTTACTGGACTGTATACAAGCACACACTGTGCTCAATGGTCTGATGAGGTATTATGGATATGATGCAAAGAGACTGTGTAGATTAGAAGCTAACAATTTGTTAAAAGTGAAAGCAACTTAACATTTACATTGGGCCAGCTGAGTAGCATTTCATATGGCAAGCAGGCTGAGTTCCCAGGAACCAGAGTCACCAGGAAAGCTCCAGGTGTTAGTGTCCATACCCCCTACCCCCAAAAAAAGTTTTCTTGCTTTCGAGTTGACTACCTTTATTACTGAGATTCTTTCTAGTCTGTCTATTCATTATTACATTCAGCTTTCAGTGTGGAAAGTTCATGCAAAACAGCATGATTATTATAAATGTCAAAAATGTGTGGAGGAACAGGCTATTAAAATACAGCCTAGAGATAGTACATAACACTGACTTTAAATAAGTAGCTGAAGCCAAAGTGATACTCCATTAAATCACTGATATTGTGAAATTTATCCACACGTACTAATTTTTATTTCAGTTACCACCATCATGATATGTTCCTCCTTACTTTATTTTAGCTCTTCAGGTTACTGCACACAGTTCTTAGGTCACAGAAGGTACTTCCATGTCCCTTTTTAGGAATGATCTGGAGTTAGAAACACATTAAGATATGGCATTCATCTTTGCTGAACCATACTCAATCTTTACCAGGCGTTTAGTACAGATATTCCATGTAAAATATGTGGTTATTTAATCAAAGCATCATCAAAATATGTCTGATAAGTGCTTAGTATGCATGATTCTTTACTAGGATCCACTAGTTCAGTACCAGAGGTTAATCCAGACAAACATGGTTTCTACACTTAGGGGGATACCAGACATTTCACAGAATACTGGAAGATAAGATTAGCTGTCCTCTTGGTCCTATCATATTGAAGAGGTTGTGTTTTTTAATTTTTAAACTTTTTTAATAAACAAAGTTTAGAATTATGAGCAGTCAATAGCTCAGAGCCCTTTTTGGACTCTAATACTCTGCCTTGCCTACCAAGCCAAAACTTTTTGTTGTTCTAATATAAAAGCCTCAATGCTTTCCCAGTGTACTGAGTGTCAGCCTGGCTTTAAGATATTTTTTTTACTCTTAAAAAATGATGTATTACAAGATTCGTAATGGAGTGAACATGCTTGAATTGCACATTTAATTTTTTTAACATCACATTCATGTTTTGCCAGTTTGCCTACCAGCTATCTGTTAACAAAAAGTTCCAAGGCAGCACTGCAAGTCTGTGCCCAACTAAGCCTTTTGTTTCTGCAGATGTTTGGGCTTAGAGCAATGTTGTAAAGCTCAGGCAATCCAAGGACCATGTTTGTACTTGTCTGCCGCAATTCCCTGTGCATTGTCTAAACCTGTATGCATTGTTCTTTCCGACAGGTGATAACTACCCCGTACAGTTCATTCCATCAACAATGGCAGCTGCTGCTGCTTCTGGACTCAGCCCTTTACAGCTCCAGGTAAGTGCCAGAAGAAAAAAATGTGGGATATGAGCCAGTACTTTAGTGGAAAACTGCTAACCAGCTGTATGCTAAATAATGGCCTGAATGTTAAATAATTTTTTAAGCATAGCCCAGAAGGATTAACACCTTATGTGCTTACCATAATGCAAATAGAAGAGAAAACTGCCAGTTTCAATATTTTTAAAGGAAAAAAAATCACATTATGACTTAATACTATGTATTCTCTATCAGATGAGTGAATAGTTTTACAATTTCAATGGCTAGTTGTTACTGCATACACGTTAGGTTTTTCCTTGTCAGTTTTTCATCTGTGTCTCCACTTATGTCCAGATTAGCTTTTACATATAAAAATTGAAACAAAAAATGATGTTGGATATTTTCTCCTTCTTGTAGCTCATAAAATAAGAGATTGTTGTTCTCAAATTACATGATAATTATTTTGTAAATTGTGAATGCATTGCTCCTTAATATGTGTATCCTCATCCTTTCTAGGGTCAAAAGTCAGGGCATGGTGTCTTATAAATTTTGCATTGGTGTTTCTTATTTATAAAGCTAAACTTGGGGGGAAAGTGTTTTGGAAACTGATTGAAAAATCATTTACACCTTATCTTCTTCACAGTAAAGTGAGTTTGGAATAGGAATAGGTGGTCATTATACCCTTCTACTACTACCACTTGAATGGGAGGTTGACTTGGAATATGAATGTTTATTTGTATTAATAAAAACAAAAAGCTGAGATCATTAAAATAAGTCAAACATTCAGTATATGGATATTTAGAGAATATAAGATAATCAACAACTTGATTTCAATATAGTAGAAAGTTTTATTAAAGATAGTTTTCATTCGTAAAATATACTGTAATTATTTTTGAGTTTTCTTAAATAATCTACAAAATAGCATCTGGTGAAGCATTTTTATTTTCATGTTGCTAATCTCTATGTGACTTGAACATAAAAAGTGTACAACTATTGTCCCATGAAAAAACATCATTTTGAATGTTTCCAATTGGATCTGCAAATAAAGAATTTTTGCAACACTTTCAGAAATTTTGTCTTGAGTCATGATCCAGGAAGTCATAAAGATGTAACCCATTAAGGGCTGTGTAGCAGAGCTAGAAATTTTGCCTAAGAGTAGCAGCAACCTCACCTCTCTTGCAAACCTTCAGCTTTCACACTACTAATACTGAAACCTACTATAGTTGGTGCAAGTCTAAAAAGAACCCTCACTATTATAAACCTAATTTATTTCTTCTTTTCCTATAGCTGTGCTATTGAGTATCTTCTTGAGTCAGAGGCAGAAACAAGAAATTAGTGCCACTGTTTGATACTATAACCAAATTTCTGTAAAAGAAAGAAACTGAGTCTTAAACTTTCTACTTTCTATTTTTTGATGTGGTCAATACCCTGGATTTAGAAACATGTATTCTGTTTCATGAGTTCTGACAGTATGTTTTGTCTTTTTTTTTTTTTTTTTTCTGAATATGCTACTAAACAGAAGGGTCATGTCTCCCACCCACAAATTAACCCAAGGCTAAAGGGCCTAAGTGACCGTTTTGGCAGGAATTTGGACACCTTTGAACATGGTGGTGGCCACTCTTACAACCACAAACAGATTGAGGTATGAATGCTTCCATTGGTGCTTCGTTGGGCTGGGGACTGGATTGTTCAGTCATACTCTAGGCTTTTTTAAAAAAAAAAAAATGTGGCAAACACTCAACCTAAACACTAAACTTAATCTTTCCCTTTTTCTCATTCCTAAGGAGGCTCTTGTTTTGCTCGTTTTCTTTCAGAGAATAAAGCAAATCCCAAAGCAATGCCCCTGAATTAAGGTTGTTCTTTGCCATATCTATTCAGGCAAAAGCTTTACATTTTAAGTGTCTTCAAAACCATCTTTCTCTCCTCACTCTTTTATCTTTTCTTATGTATAGTGTTGTATAGTATTTTTTAAAAATACTTAAACATTAAAAAATTATTTGACCATAGAATAACTCTGTAAATTTGATCAAATATAATTCTGCTTGTATAGGTAAAACAGCTGAGGTTTGGAGAGGTCAAGTTATTTAACCAAGGCTATAAAATATTCATTGAGTCAAGGTTATTGCCCAGGATTTCTAATTCTACCTACTCAGTTTTCTCAGAATGAAGTAGGGGTCGGTGCCTCGGCCTGGATGGTTACTTTTTCCCAGACAAACTTCTGCAGTATTCTTTTCACATTTCCCCTTCCAGTAGAGTCCTTTGTTGTTTTGTTGGGATATTCTTACCACTTGAGGGAAGATGGCTTATGAAAACCAAGACCTTTTCTTCTACAGGAACCCAGTCCTCCTCTCTTCAATTTCATGCTTAATTCCCTTTTCTGCATCACTGGGGTCCCTCACTGGGACTATCATATTGGAGAATTTCCAGCTACCTGTTGAATTTTTAAAAAGTGGATACAGTTTACCTCAAACTGAAACACTTTAATTCTCTGGGTTAGATATAATAGAAAATTTTATATTCTAACCTAGGATGGGAAACTCAATCCAACAATGAAAATAATTGCATCTAGCAAGATGTACATTTAGATTTTGATGGCCCTGCTGGTCTGTATAGCTCAAACACTATATAGTCAATAAAAGGTCCCTTTGACATTACCTTTTCTGCTGCTTGTGAATTTACCTTTTTGAAAAATGATAGGGAATGATTACTCCTAAGAAGACGGAAGAGACAAGACCAAAGACCCCCTTGGAAGTAGCCTAAGGTAGAATTCTAGAGCTTGTTAACTGCCTCCCTCTTTTCTTTTGCTTTGACATAAGAGGTAGACAGGGGTTTCCACTCAGACATAATTAGACACAGACTATCAGAGTATCTCCTGTCTTCTATACAGACAAAAGAAATTTCTAAGGCTGTCTTTTGGCTGTAGAGTGAGTACCACATTTCTAGGCATTCTGACAATCTACTATGCCTAGGAGAGCTAAAAAGAGATGACTGGACATTAGGAACAAGTTTATATGTGTGATGACAATTAGCAAGCTTATCTACTTAGGACAGTGATCTTGAGAAGCTTTTAAATGCCTGGAAGAATGAGAAATCAGGTAGCCTTGGCTCAAACTGAAGACTTCCTGTCCTGCTGGACTTTTCTGTTTCCTCTCCTGGTGGACTTTTCTTTCTCTCCTGTTGGACTTTCCTGTTGGACTTTTTTGTTGGATTTTCTGTTGAGGTGTTGTGTTCTATCCCATCAATCTTCCCTTAGCCAGGTTTCTACCCAGTCTTTTCTTTTGCTTAATTTTTCACTTAGATCGGCTTCTTTCCCACCCCCCACTCCCAACCCCCACACCATCACTGATCCCTGATGTATCAAATCTGGCTTCTGTTGGGTTTCTGGAAACCATGATGTCATACATATGAGTGCCAGAGCTGTGTAGTGCCCTAGTGATGCTGATCTAGAAGCACAACATATGTCACGTGTCTGTCACTTTAATTAGGCTAAACAAGGAAACTATTAATTCAAGAGCCTTCATAGTTTTGCAGTTTAAATTTGGATGCTTTGATAGTTTCCTCAGTTTTTATTTACTCTTGCTGTGTTCTATTGCCTCCTATTTTTGCAGCTTTTTCCTGCATGTCAGGAAACCTTTGATCTATTTGCTTATGTGGACACTGGTTAGAAAAGATTAACCTTGTTTAAAAGGCAGGTTTCCCAAACTTTCCTAGTATGAGTGTAGCATGTTTATTGGGACTTCCGTGAATAGCATAGTAGACACCCATATCTAAGCTGCTAGATAGTAACATTTTAAATCTTGAGCAAGGGTAGAGGGATATTTTAATAATATATTGGTTTATTGCTATTAAAATCTGCTTTCTTTTCTAGCTAGGGTCTTCTCCCCTCCTTTGACAAGCTAAAATGTCACAGTTCTGTCAACAAACATGATCATGATAAAGTATTGCTACTTAGAAAACGTTACAACAATATTAACTGGTTTTATTTCTAAACAGAGATTCTTAGGAGGAAAAGCTTTTAACACATATAGACCCCCACCCCACTGCATGCGTTACTCAGAACTGGTGCTCTCTACTTCATGTTACAGTTAATTTGTCCTTCAAAGGTTGTCATTTCTAAAATTAATTAGGCTGGGTAAATCTTAACAACATTTGGTATATATTAAGTATACCCTGAAATTGTGTTACCAAGTAGAGACAAGTTATTTAAAATGGAAAGACTCTCCCTATATTAGCATATGCCATTACTTTCTTTCTTTAAAATAAGGAAGATTCCGTAAAGATCATTTTTTAAAATACTACTGTGCTGTTCTAAGGCTTGGTTTTCTCTGCCTCAGGGGCACAATATTAGGAGAAAGAAGGCCAAAGAGTGCTATTTTTAGTTGAACAGTTCAGCAGATGCAGGCATGAATACTCATATATCTGAAGGTTGAGGGGTTTGAACCATTAATTGTGATAATGTATTTAACCCTGGGAACAATCAGAAACTGCAACTCTAAGGTTACAATGCTTTTGACCTTTAGAGAACAGAGGGCACTTGCTACAGTAAACAATATATTATGTTGCTGCTTATTCCAATTCTCTCACCCATATAAATTTCAGGACCAGTTGCCATTTGCTTTCTTCAGCTATGTTAGAATTGGTCCGTAAGTAAGTCAAAAAGAATGTTAAGGAAAGGGAACCAGTATAATGAGGCAGTCATGTAAATTTAGCCTTTAAATAGCAATGATGTTACATTATTTCTGAAGAAATATTGTCGTGGGAACTAAGCTCTGGATGACTTTTTTTTTTTTTTAATGGAAAAGGGGCTTCAGTGTATTTATTCATTTATATGGTTACTTTCAATATGATAGATCCTTAATTTTGTTTCGTTTTGTTTTGTTTTTAATGGGGAGTAGTGTTGCCTCATAGTTGTAGCTTACATTAAACAAAATCTGGTACCATATGCAAAGTGATCCACCTGCCTCATGCCTTCTTATTAAATGATGCATGCTTCTCTTTAGCAAATACAGCAGTTAAATATCACACAGCTTAAGAATTTCTAATTAAAATATCTCCATGTGTCAGCGTATTGGTAATGTATTATTTTAATCCATTTATTTTGTTTATGAAACAGTGACATATGTTTAGATTGTGAAATATATGAGCCTTAAAAATCACTTTATTGAAGAAAATTAATTCCAACAATACTGTCTCGGTAATGTGTTCACTCACCCAGTCAGTCACTGGCGGCACTGCCAGTCTTAATGTTGGGTAGACATCAAGACTTACCAGTTACATCCACATGACAGTCTTGGAAAGAAGCATCTCAGTTCTTTTTCTTAGCATCAGATAATAGGGTTATTCTTTTCTTACTATTTTTTTCTTATTAATTCAAACCCGCTCCCCCCAAAACACTTTTCTTGCCTTTTTAAAAAAATACAATGAAGGATGGGGCTGAGTATATGTATAAGGGATTGTGAAAGACCAATCAAAATTAAAACAAGCTAGTTACCTTTTCAAAGTTATAGACATAGTAATTTGTTTGTCAGCAGGAAGATGTTTGGGTCAGCCCTGAGATAAAGTGACTGTCAGCAGTTATTCCTCCAAGACGAGTAATTTCACTCAATGTATTACTGACAGATTGCTCACTTCCCTGAATCACCAGAGAAAACAAACTTAATATTGTTGCAGGCAGAGTTTCTGTCTTCATTAGCTTCAGAGAATGATTTTTATCTAGCATTCAAAGTTCACCAAGCTTTAGTTGGAACATATTTTAACATACTAGTTCTTATTACGATAGTATGTATAGTAGCCTGAATGAAAGAATTGTATATGAAAATTTAAAAATATCAATATAAATACATTTTCACTGTTATTTGATGAGTATTATGTGTAGTTTAGGGGAGATTTGAGGAAAGGAATATAGTTAGAGTCTTAAAGCACTAAGAAAAACTATCAACCATAGTTATTCTTAAATGAAACTACTGAAGTCTTGCCAAGTTTGCAAAGATGGAGGAGAACAATTGAAGTTTTTGCAAAAGTGAGTACAAGCACATATTTTATTTAAATGATATTGTCAATTTTTGTTCTACAAATTGAAAGTAAAGAAGTGCCCATCAGAATTGAGAATGCTGTATTTCTATTTCTTTTGCAGCCTGAGTCTTTATGATGTCGTATTTAGAGGCTCTGCACTGTCTGTTGTACCCTGTCTTCTTATCTGCAATTGCAAAGATGCCTCAGTGCTGGGGGGGAATGGGAGGGTGATTGAGTTAGCTTTGCTGGGCAGTCTTGGAAAGTTGCAATTTCTAATAGAGAAGAGGGTTGAATAAATAGTTGATTAGGGTGACCTATTACTGGCTACCCAATGGAGAAAGAGGAATGCACTGATTCAAAGCTTGTTTTGAGGATGCCAACCATGGGGCTCTGCTTTGAAGAGAATGCATGCTTTTCTCTTAATCAGCCTTCACTCACCCTTCTGACTCTTTTCTTGATTTTTAAGAGTGTGGTGGAATTTGGGAGGACCATTACAGCTAGGCTTAGATGAGCTGTAGGCTAATGGAATGAACTCCATTTATGGAATTAGAACTTTGGATTAGGGTTTCCACTATAACTTTGTTGCTCTGTTGTCTTGCACTGTTACAAAATACCTCCCTTTGCAGTTGT